CCACCGAACGTCCCAGTGGCGCATTTAGCATGTGGGCGTCGCGCCCGTTTCGGCACACCCCTCACGCGCTTCGTGGCCCCATAGACAGCTTCACCGAATGTCCCAGTGGCGCAGCTCGCATGTGGGCGTCACGCCCGTTTCGGCACACCCCTCACACGTTTCGTGGCCCAGTAGGGAGCTCCACCGAAGGTCCCAGTGCTGCAGTTCGCATGTGAGCGTCACGCCCGTTTCGGCACACCCCTCACATGTTCCGTGGCCTCATAGGGAGCTCCACCGAAGGTCCCGTTGCTGCAGTCCGCATGTGGGCGTTGCGCCCGTTTCGCCCCCCTTCTCAATTTTCGTGGCCCCGTAGATAGCTTCACCCCAGGTCCCAGTGGCGCAGTCCGCATGTGGGCGTCGCGCCCGTTTCGGCACACCCCTCTCACGTTGCGTGGCCCCGTAGGAAGCCCCACCGAAGGTCCCAGTGACACGTTTTGTGGCGCCATCGGGAGTTCCACCGACGACGATCCTCACAACTGCGGCACTCACAACTGGATATGGTTGGGTCCTTCGCAAGGCTAATTCAGTGCACATGCATTCAGGGGCCCACGCGCACCCACACAATCCTCACCGCTAACAAAAACTTCACCTCCGCGGTCTCCATGAGCAGATGTCGAAGGAATTCAAGCCAGCGTGTAAGCACCCTGCCAGCTTCAGAGAGGCGCTCAGTAAGAGGGTTTTACATTTGTCAACCATGTTCAAGGTCCCCCTCGCTCCTCTGTAATCGGTCTGTGCCCACTCAACGAGAATGTTATGCCACGTCAGGCAACAAGGGGCGGCCGGGTTGTAGATATGCCATGTGCAGTTTCCGCTCTCCCGTGCACGTCCATGCTTCGCTAAGCAAGGCTTGCGGATTGAAGCCACGGGCTTTGGGTAATGGGGGAGCGCCTGGTGTGGCGCAAGAGTTCAGTGCAGCCCGGGCTCGGGGGGGGGATGTTCCTTGCTTGGCTCCCGAACGAGCCCACCGAGAAGACCCTGAGGCAGCTGGGGGGTGGCAGACGCATCGGGGGAGAATTTCGTGCACCGCTGTCAAATCCTAGGCCAGCATGATGTAGTGGTTATTCCAGATTTCGTAATAAATGGGAGGGGGTCTGGACCCTCCAAGACAAGCCATTTCAGACCTCCCCCGTGGGAGAACCCTCCAAGACATCGTCCCCAGACCCCCCCAGGCCCTCCAAGATAGCCTGGAAGAGACCCCCCCCCGAAATGAGACCCCCCTCCCTTTATTACGAAATCTGGAGTACCCACCGTCCTACTGCTTTCGCACTTCTGGTGTTTTCGCTGCGACGCTTTTGCTCGGCCGCTCGCGGGCTCTCCCCTGGCCCGTCGTCCGGAGGGACCTGGGCACGCAAGGATAGCCGGCAGAGGGCGAGCATGACGAGAGCATCCGCGCGCAGCAGACCCTGAGATCCGACGTCTCGAAACAAACAAATGCAGCATCGTAAAAAAGATCACGCCCAAAGCCCTGGACCCCATCTTTCTGCGCCACTTTGCAAGCCGGGCCGATCTGTGACCAGGGCCCGCGAAGGCGAGAACGTCCGGCTCGAACAAATCGAAACGCCAGGATCTCAGGGGGAGGACAGGAAGAGGAAAGGGCGGACGTGGGAGGGAAAGTAGTGAGCCCGAGGACGCGGACATGGGAGGGAACGCGAGGCCGAGGACGCCCGCCGACAGCTTGCGCCACCTCCCTTTGCAGCCTGCCGGTCGCAGCTTCTCCCGCGGGCGTCGGCGCGGCGCCCGAGGAAGACCCGCGAGGGCAGACCTCGCAGGCGGCGGGTGCGCACCCGCGCCCGGGCCCACGATGCCCTGGCTCTGCTCATCCGCAGGCTGGCCATGAGCCCTCGACTCTCGCCATCCTCTGGCGGCCCCGCAGGCCCCGCAGGCCCAGAGGCCCCAAGTCAAGCAGTGGCGAAGCGTCCTGGCTCGCCTATAGGCCCACCGAAGGATGTTTTAAGAACCTTTTGTGGTCTGCACGAGATGTTCTTTAGAACATTTCTGGCTGATACGGTCTCCACTTAACACATCTGGGCTATGTTCTAAGAACATCGTTTTTGTTCTTAGAACATTTGGGGGTTCTAAGAACATGTCGTGGCAGGCCTACAGGAATGCCGGGACGGTCGGTCCATATTCAATCAAGGCTTTTGTTCTTCCTAGATGTTGGCAAGCGTGCTTGCAAGGAGGGACAGGAGGGCTGGCAAGAGGCCCGAAAGGAAGCCTGGCCTTCCCGCAAGTCGGGGCTCGCTGGCACGCCGCTCTTCGGCCCAGCGCTGCGTGACACGGCGGCGGAACGGGGGGGGGGGATGACGGGAGAGGCCGTGCGGGCAGCTTCGCGGGATTCTGGAGAGCAGCAGCCTCCCAGACGCCGCTGGCTGGACGGCCAGCCGGCCGTCCGGGGCCACCGGGCGAGCCCCGCGCGCTGCGAGGGCGCCCGCGCCCGACCGCGCGAGCGCGCGCGGAGGCG